CAAAAAGTACTTAAAACCAACCTAAACACCTTCTATGTCCCCTCCTGATGCTGCAACCTAAAAGTATTTTCTATAACTTGCTCCTTGATCATTCCTGTCCATAGTATCGGTCAATATATCTCCATGTGTTTAGTCAAAGAAACCTAATAGTTGAACCGTAGAATCAAAGGTCTATAAAAACAAAGCTACATCCCCAACACTAGTGCGGACTTAAAACTTCTGCACGAACACCTTCCACCAAGTCCTAAACCCTTTGCATTAGCAATAAGGTGACCAGCCAAACAGTTTTGGATAAAATCAAGCAAGAGATAATGTGATTTCACCCACTTTCAACAGAAACACCACAACTTGAGATGCAGTGAACAAAAAAACAGTAACAGCAGCAGTCCAACTCCAAAGATTTGTCTCCTCGCTTAGAGGAGCTTGGGTGGTAGGAATTATCAGGATGCATTCAGCTTAGTATTCGAATAAGATAGCTGTTTAATTGTGTGCTAAGTGACCAAGATACAGATGAGTTACCCAAGCTGTGCCACTTAAATATAAAATATCTTTGAATGCAGAAAAACATCAGAGTTACAATACTGACTTTTGTTGTACGTCTTGAGGGTGAGTTAGTTACTCCAAACTCAATTATTTAGGTAGTGAAATCAAAATTAGTCTCCACAAAAAAGAATCTTCACTTCGCTGACGACAACTACCTTGTTGTAACAGCTCTACGAGAAAGATGCTTCACAATGTAATCAAATGGTCCAAATGATAGCTCAACATTAACAGAACAGAGAAGTTCTTTCATTGAAAGCTGTAAAAAGTTATTGCAAGTAATCATTAACCAACCTTGGTCCACAGCATGTCGCAAGAGATGAGACCCTCGAATTGCTTCTAGGAAGTGCACCTTGTGATTCCAGCTCACTTATAATCCCTTGCACAACCTGAATCAACACAAATTAAAAGAAAATGAAATAATTTAGACAAAAAAAGAAGAAGTTCAAACTAAAGTCATGAAGCACATTCTAGTTAGAATAACGATTTAAAAGCTAAAGCATAAGTCAACTTGATCAACTATGTCTCAATCTCACAATAGTCATCGTTCAGCTATATTCTGCACGTCTCACTTCAAAACTGTAAAAAAGAAATACAATTATCTTTCATGAATAGGCAAAAGCAGACTTACCTTGCGAAAATCACGAGATTGCGCCGAATCAAATATTGGCCAGACCTTATCGAAATCCTGAAGATCTTCACAGTGAGAAAAGAGAACAAAACGAAAACGAGTATCAAACACAAATCCGTAAGCCTGCACAAGCTAAAAAGTTACCTTGGCGGATTGAGCAGGGCCTCTAAGAGAAGAAAGTAGGAAGTAAAGAAGCTGTTCTCCCAATTTAGGGTTTGAATGACGAAAAAATCCAACACGAGGAGTGCCATTGTTAGCTACGATACCTATGATCGCTGGATCCAGGCCTAGTAACAAACAGTTAGTGTACATTGCACTTTCTAACTCCATCTCCCTCTCCTTCTCTCTGTCCATCGTCATCCACACCTTCACTGTTTGCAACTGCAATTTTGCTTCACTTCTCGCCTTTCCGGCGTCTCAATCTGTGTCCGGCCGGTGGATTTTCCGATTTAGAACATGATTTTCTTGCTAATATGAGAACAACAAGCCCTTTTGGATAAATTTAAGAATGGCCTGTTGTTGGATCAATTTGGGACTTGAAAGAATATGATCTCAAAAATTCGGGGTGCATTTCTGAATTAGTTGCTTTGCAGTGGGGTCAGGAAGGATAAAAGAAAATTTTGAAATGCGTAACGTGAACCGCTTAACTATGTTGGCGTCAAGCCTCGTCTTCACTGATCTTGTTAAGGGAGGTCTTGGGTTCGAGCCCCTTAGGTACGGAGTCGCCTTTGTAAGGGAGTGTTTTATTCTTAATGTGGGTATCGAACACCGGATGAGAAATCCAAAAAAAAACAAAAAATATTCTTTTTATGCTTCCTAGTAGATTGTTCAAATTTTTATTAAAATTAAATTAAACTATAAATATTTATTAATTTAATTGTTATTGATATTTATTAATTTAATTTTTATTTATTATAATAATTGAAACTTTCATCTATTAATTCATTAAAATATCATATGTCCAAAAGAATACTTTCTCGATAAGATCCGTGCAACAAGCTATGAAAATTTTAATCAAGTCATAACCAATAATATTAATCTTATAAGAATACGTAAAAACACAATATAATTGGGATATGAATACATATTTCAAATATCATATTTCTCTTCTAAAAAATTTTACTTTTTGATAAACATGTGATAGAAGAACAAAGTCCTTCGAAATTTTAAAGATATGTGTGCACTAACAAATATGATTGTTGATGTAGTAAGCAAATATCATATAAGCTTAGACCATACATCAAGAAAATCAATCTTCAAAAGGTTATTGATATCAAGAAAATTAATCCTCAAAAGGTTATTGATAAGAGGTTCAAAGTTAATTTCTTATGCTAGGTAAATCTTTTGAAGATTCAATTTTGTGACTAAAATAAGAATTGAATATCAATTAAGAAAAATCGTGATCAACCAGGAGTTATTAGTTACATGATGTTTACAAATAAGAAAAAATATGCGAAAGAAAATTCATTCTCCTTTAAAAAATAAAAGAATTCTTCAAAAAGTCATTAAAGATTTATGTTATTACATGCAAATAACAAAATTTACTCTAAAGTAATAGCATCATAATAAAAAGATGTCTTTGTAAATCAAAACTATTGAATTGAAGAATCCGATCGGATGAGTTTTCTGCCTAATTCTTAAGCTTTGATTTTTATTCTTAAGGTATAACCTATTTTGTTTTTAAGAAGATTTTGTTAGGTGTATGTTTACAATAGTATTTTTTACATCTAGAGTAATTGAAGTGTAATGCATCGAAGAATTTTGATGAAATATAAAAAGTAAGTTTGAATCAAGTGAATGACATTAAAAACACTTTAAAATATTAATAAATAATCATTACTGCGAAATAAATTTGTTCATTTGTTGTTACTTAAAAAAAAAACAATGATTAATGTCTTTTCCTTACAGTACTTAAACTTTATGTTCAAACTTGAGTTTATTTAAAGTAGATTCGGGCATTGAATCTTCTTAAATTGTTGAATTTAGAATAAAAATACATTATTTCTAGGTAAAAAAAAATTCATATGAACTTCTATTATAGATGTATTAACTTCAAACACATATGACGAGGTTATATGCTCTAAGTTCATGCAAAAAAAATCTAAACTTTATATACATGTAATGTTCAATCATGAACGTGACCTCCTAACTTTTCGACCATAATCATGCAACTTCAAGCTCATATGTTTGACTAACTAAAAGTGGTTGAAGTTGTAAATATTTTTACACTGTAAATATGGCTTAAATATTGATCTAAAATCGAACATTCATGTACTTATCTCTCATTTGATACGTGAGGTGATCAAATAAGTAATATTCCATGAATTGAGATATCTCATCAGATTAATTTATCCCATTTTTTATATAATGAGCCAGAAAAGTGATTTTCTAATACTTCAAATCATACATCAAATAAAATTAAGGAAAAACTATGGAATATAGCAAATATCAATGTATCTTTCATGTATATAGCTACAATTTTTTATGATATATGAATATAATTATATGTTAATTAGCAAATTTAATTATACACGAATTGTCAATTTTCTTTAAAAAAAAATTATATGTATTTAAATAATTATTAAATATGAAAGGTATTACTACAGCCTAATATATGCCATAGGCACAACTCTATTCCCCAAGCTTACCCTTCAACGTCTATTTTTGTTCCCCCCCCTCCCCCCTCAATTTCCTTCTAATTCAAGATTCTTTGCATGATTGTAGGAATAATTTTTGCATTTTTTCTCATTTATGTCAAGTTTATATTTGTATAAATTTATATAATTGATCGGTTTTTACAAGGTTTTGTTTGAAGAAGTTATTTTTACTAACATTCAAATATACATTTTAATTCTGTTAAAATTCATTTCGATACAAATGAGGTAATACATAAATACATTTCCTTCTTTGGATTAAACATATACAATGATATTTGAATGTTGAATATAGTAGAATACATATACATGCATTTGGATATTTGTCCTTTTTTCATGGACTGCCCAATTGAAAATACAAGTGCATTTGGATACATAAATACACTAAGTAGATTTGGATGTATACGTATACAATGCATCCATTTTTTATACAGTGAAATACATATACATTTGGATAATTGTATTGTAATATAATTCCTTGTCATTTTTTTCTGAATTGTCCAATTTTATTGATACATTAACAAAATTGTATTAAGCAATATAGGGATACAATTATGCTTGTCATGTAGTTCGCCTATTTGAAATCGAAATAAACAAGATTCATTCACAATTACAATAAATCAATTTAACTAAACAGACTTATATAAAATACCTTTACGCTTAAATAAAAACAATGGCGACAATGAATATTAGTGTACGATGTATTCCAATTTTAAAAAAACTGATTGGAATTCAAAAGTATTTAGATTGACTATATAATTATTCGTAGTTGATGTAATAATGAGAAATTGAGAATTTTAGGATATAATCAAAGAGATTCAATTGTAGTACCATAAATTACCTTATTTAATGTATTATAATTAAAATTGTATCCCTGTATAATTTAAAAAAAACAACAAAAAAATACACAAATACAGTGAAATATTGATATAAAATGTAGTCATTTTTGGTAAATAACATACTTATATCTATTGAACTTTAATAACCCTATAAATATGATCATTTATATAAATTGCTCTAAAATTAATCTTAATTTTATAAAAAAAAATTATTATCTTTATTCCACGTATCAAAATGAGTTCTTAGTCTTGTAAAGTCCAAATACTAGAGGAGGCCCAATTCAATAAAATGAGCCCACCAAATCTCGCGCCAGGCGTTCCCACCGAGAAACAATGGTCACTCTGTCCTCCATAGAAGGTATCGATAGTCAAAACTCAATAAATACCAAATAATCTACACTTCATATCACTCACTCCGCCTAATAGTTTAAAAGCCCTTCATTTCTCAATTCCTTCTAGGTTTTGGGTCGTGCAGCTGCTCTTTCTACCACCATTTCCTGTTTTGGGCGAATCCCGATAAGTTATCTATCTGTTCTTTCGTTTTCCATTTCGTTTTTTGTTTGAATTTCGAGTTTTTCTGGAACAAGTTGGTGTTTTTGTTTAGTTTGCATTTGCGATTTTAGGGTTTCTGTTGAAGATTAATGTTGGGTTTGTTTTTGTGGATTTCGCCTAGGTGGGTGAGACTTTTTTTAGGTGATTGGTGACTGTTTTGAGTGGACGTTATGGCCGGGAATCGAGGAGAGGGAAGCTCATCTGGGATCAAGTTCGATGAAGGGGGTGGATTTAGTTTTGATTGGGAAGAAGAGGAGCTTGATGAAAATGCTGATTTGTTGCCTTCGGATCCGTTTAATATGGAATGTAGGAACCAAAGGACGGGTTTTTCAACCATGACCAGTTGGTTAGAGGATTTTGGGTTTAAGATAGATGAGAATGAGGTTGCGAAACTTGATTCTTTCTTGATTCGCAAGATGGGAATTGATCAGGGTGCGGGTTTCCAGTTGATTGATGGAAATTGTGTGCCGTTCGGGATGATTTTCAGAGAGGGGTTGAACGGTGGTCATGGTCTGATGGATGGTGATACAACAGATAATGATCAAGGGAGGATTAATGATCATTGTGGTGTGGATGGAGGTAATCCACCGCAGGCGTTGTTGCTGTCCCTTGGTTATTTAGGCTTGGGGGACCTATTTGTAGTTGAAAGAGTAAGCAAGCCTTTACGGGATGCTGTTGTAGGAGATCCACTTTTATGGAAAAATATTAACATAACTCATCCATTTTGTACTAATATCACAAATGATATCCTTATAAACTTAACGAATAGAGCTCAAGGCCATCTTCATTCTCTCAGTCTATTTCACTGCTCAAAGCTCACTGATGCTGGTTTGAAGCATGTACTTGATAGGAATCCCAACCTGTCAAAGGTCAGTTTTTTCTCTTGTGTTATCATTATGTTTTGACGGAATCTTGTTATTTTTACTGTAAATAGTAATATTTATTAGGTCTTATGTAAATCCTCTCGTACCCATTAATATTTTACATAAGTAATATTAGCAATTGTAAAAAATAGTTATTAGGAACTGTATTAACTATTACCTTAACAGTTATAAGTGGTAAACAATCTATTAAGCACCAACTCTTCATTTCGAACAATGAATTTAGAAACCCTAACTTGTAAACCACACTTTTTCATACTAAACCTATATGCAATTTGAATTTCCATGTTGACGTCTCTTCAGCCCACCTCAATACTTGTTAGGTTATTCCAGGGCCTTGCCGGCATTTGACAAACAAGACAGTGTCCTCTAATTAATGCAAGACTTAAAGAAAATAATGCTTATATGGTAATAACTAATCTCTGCATAACTCTAAGTTTCTAACTAGTTACCGAATGACCCCTTAAGGTAATACACAATGAAACAATAAACTTAAAAATGGATATAGAAATTAGTTTTGGATTTCCTGTGAAATATAAACAATGAATGGAAAAATTGTGTTAAGAGGTTGTGTTTTCGTAGGGCATGTGGTGTAAAATTCAAAGAAAAACTATAAATATTTTTCTAGAGGCTTGGAGTTCTCTTTTAATTTACTGTCTCTTTTCTTCTTGTTGTTCAATCAAGTACCAACCCTTCATTTCGTAAAATGAATTCGGAAACCCTAACTTGTAAATCACACATTTTCATACTAAACTGGAGATTGAGTAGTAACTGTTTAGGTAATACCTTATGAAATTAGTAAACTTAAATATTGAAATTAGTTTTGGATCTTTTTTTTTTGGTGTAGGTGATAGATTTAGTTTCGATTTCCTGTGAAATATAAATAGTAAATGGATAAGTTGTGTCAAGAGGTGTTGTCTTAGGGGCACACGGTGTAAATTCTCAATAAGTTCGTTTGATTCCTTTATGTTGAGAGATGGCACTAACAATTTCATTGACGCAACTTTAAGAAAGTAACAGACTGATGAAAGACCTTATTTCTACTGGTTTTGGTAATATTTATACTAAAGTGTCCTCCATTCCACCTCCTTTTAACCTCTCTGGGAAGTTCTTTTACTCCATTAAATTTCTTACTATGTAGCTCTTTCACTTCCTTGTATCTAGTTTTCAGTTTGGTTCTATTAATTTCTGCTTTATGGTTTTGCTATACATTTAATAGGAATAATAGAACTTGATTCTGATAATTTCTTTCAGTCTCTTCTTATTTGTCTAGTCTGCTGATGTCATGTTTGCCTGTGTTCATGCAGTTAAATGTCCAAGGATGTGCGAGACTCACAGCAGATGGTATGCTCTCTAACTTAAAAGTCTGGAAGACTGCTGGAAAAACGAGACTTAAATATTTAGGGATTTATGGATTGTCTGGCTTGACAGACAAGCACATGGATGAGTTCAAGCTCTTAACAGGTGTAGATAATAGCAAGCTGCCAACTACTCGTAAGCCACGATTTTTTGGTGGTGGCCGGTCGCGTGTCACTTTTGATGATGACCGTGCTATTGACGTTGAAGTTTGCCCGATATGCCAGAGGTTTGAACTAGTTTATGATTGCACTTCGGAGAGTTGCCAAAAGAAGCAATCTTCCTCTCAGTTGTGCAGGGGTTGTGTTAAATGCATTAAGCGTTGTTTCGATTGTGGATGCTGCTTAATTAATTGCGATTACGTGGAGCTGTTCCATTTCGAGTCGCTTTGTTTAGATTGCCCGATAAATCCCTTGGGTTCGCAAAAGGGGGAGCAGAAAACCGCCCCTTTGTCTGAAACCACTGTTGGTCACTAGGAGGAGGGTTACCATTTTTACCTCTATGGCTTGGATGCATAATGCTTGTTGCTTTTCTTGGCTGTAGGAAAGCTTTGGGATCACATAATGCTTTCGCGCATCAGATTTGAAATGGAAGTCCTTTGTCTATGTTGAAGAAATTGGAGTCTGCGTAGTGTCGAACATGGCAGGCCAAAAGCTGATCTTCTGCATGGATAAGCTTATGTATGCTATGTCATGACTGTGTTAAGTAAAACTTCTGTCGAGTAACCCTTGTGTTGTATGCATGCTGGGTCATGATTATGTTGAGTAACCCTAATATTGTATGCATGATATGTCATGATTCTGTTAAGTTACCCTTATGCTGTATGCATGATGTGTCATGATTATGTTTGAGTAACCCTTATGTTGAATGTATGCTGTTTCATGATTTTGTTGCGTAACGAAGTAGAGTAATGTCATTCAAGATGTTACACCACCAGAAGCATTGGGGGCATGATATGTCATGATTCTGTTAAGTAACCCTTATGCTGAATGCATGCTGTGTCATGATTATGTTGAATGTATGCTACACCACCAGAAGCATTGTGGGGTGGGGGGTTAATGCCCATAGAAGGTGCGTTTGCAAATATTAAGGCCTACTTGTTTGAGGTGTAGTTGAAGAAGAATGTACCAGTGTTGTTTGACTGGCGAAAGATTAGGTTGAGGTATTGTTGAATAGGAAGCTCAGACAGGTATTTTTAGTGCATGTGGTTCAGGTTGGGATATTGTTGGTTGGCTTATACTAAATCTGTGATCTGTTTTAGATTTGTAGTACCGATGTCCTGTATGACTTATATTGTGATAATTCACAAAAAAAGAGAAGAGAATAGACTTTCTATATTCACATTAATTAAGAGTACGAGGTAGGTGGGTGTGGAGGATGAGAATTAGACTAGAATGTTAGTAGGCAACAATGTGTTGTCTTGCCGTCCATTCCTATTAGTAGTCATAGTATTTCTCTATAGTTTCTAAGAGTACGAGGTAGGTGGGTGTGGAGGATGGGAGTTAGACTAGAATGTTAGTAGGCAACAACGTGTTGGCTTGCTGTCCATTCCTATTAGTAGTCATTGTATTTCTCTGTAGGTCGTTTGGTTGGGAACAAGTTATCTCAGGATTAGCTATCGTGGATAATTTATCCCACCATGTATACTTATCCCATCACTATGGTATAAATGGTGGGATGAGTTATCCCAAACATAGTAACCAAACAAGAAACAAAAATTTTATCCCATCACTATTTGTTTTTATCCTTGACACCGAACGACCCCTAAGAGTACGAGGTAGGTGGGTGTGGAGGATGGGAATTAGACTAGAATGTTAGTAGGCAGCAATGTGTTGTCTTGCCGTCCGTTCCTATCAGTAGTCATAGTATTTCTCTACAGTTTCTTGTCCTTCAATTTCTGGTACAATATGTTGTTCCTTTGCCTTGATTATCGTATTGTTTTGTTGTGGTTTATGTTATGTTATTATAAGTTATTTTTAGTACTTCGTTACTTCTTGTGGATTGGTTTTTCTTGAGTCAAGCAGCTGTGGATCTACTGGCACAGGCGCTTGAATCTGTGCCACCGAAAACAACCGAATATACTATTGCAAGTAGGTACCCTCTGATGGTAAGGTTTGTGTGCACTCAATCTTTACTTCGTGAAATTATTGTGAATATGTTATTGTTATCAGTTTATTACAATATTTAGTATTTTAAAATGTCGTACCAATATTTTTGTATTCAGGATTTCAAGTTTAAAGCGTCGGAGGAGAAATCAATAGACGGGAATCATGTACCGTATTGAACGACATACAGCAAAAAATTCTTTTTCTTTTATACGTACAACAAAAATTGAATTGTTTATTCGATGAAAAAATTGTTGTGGTTTACTAAAACTTTGCTTTACTATTACTTTATTTTATTGATTTCCTGTCTAACTTGCGCCTGTTAAGCAAACCACCCGCTTTCATTCTACTTATGGATCAAACTCTCCCTGAGATTCTTAGTTGCATTATTTATACCTTTCTAGTTCATAGACAAAGCGAATTTACGAGTTTAGATTTAAAAGGGCAATTTTTTCCTTCAAAAAAAATAAATGGTATATCAAATTTTTTTAAAACCAAAACGGCAAAATTGCTACTGAGAGAGCGATATCTTTTTACTCCGTTAACGTCCTTAAAAACTAAAATTGAAATCGCTGCTGGAGCAGCAATTTTGTCAAAAGAAAATAATCATGAATTAAAATTTTAAAATTACTGCCTCAGCAACGTTGTTTTAAAAAAAAAAATTGTTTTTCTCTAAAATTGCTGCTGAGTTTTTTTTTTTAAAAAAAAAAATTCTAAAATCGCTGCTTCAGCACTGTTGTTTTTTTAAAAAACTTTTTTTTGGTGTAAAATTGGTGCCTCAGCAGAGTAATTTTTTTCTATCTAAAATCGCTTAAATGAAATTTCTAGTTTTTTTTTATATCGAGGTAATGCAAGTTGTTTTTTAGATTATTTTTTTTTTGGAAAAATGATTTTAGAAAAACACAAATTTCTTTTTTGAAAACAACTTTTAGAATTTTTTTTATTAAAAAAAGAAAAACGCTGCTAGGGCAGCGATTTTTTTTTTTTTTTTTTTTAAACTTACTGCTCCAAGAGCGATTTTTATTGAAGTTTTTAGTAGCGTGAACGGAGTTAAAAAATATCACTCCCTAGTAGTGATTTTGTCGTTTTGGTTTAGAAAAAAAATTATATACCATTTATGTTTTATTGAAGGAAAAAAATTGTTTTGACTTTTGACTCCGAACTTGTGGATTTACAATTGTCTTTCATTCCCTTCCCATTCACTTTCACACGGAAGCTTGAAAGGAAGCGTCAATTAAGAGAAAACTCATATCTACCTCCGGCAGACTATAGTTAATTGGGTGGGTGTGGGTTTGATCAAATTTAGACGGATCCTAATGAATTAAGACAGTAATCAGAGTCAACCCAACTCAAATTCATTTGGGTCAAAACAAGTTGGATAAAAAAGGATTCGGTCAAATTCGCTTGGGTCAAAACAAGATAGATCAAAAAGGAATTAGGTAATGAATTATATAACAGGTCAATAAAACCCAATCCAACCTAAATGTTACTATGCTTAATAGTTTTATTTGTTCTTTAAAACTATTTTAGTACCTCATAAATTCTTTTTTTCTTTATTATGACTAAATATAACATATCAAATTGAAAAAAAACAATTTAGAAATATTTTTACAAGATTTCTCATCAAACTATTCGAGCTACATATCAATTCAATTTTTAATGAATTGGATTGGAATGAGTTGAGATAATGAATAAGCGGATCAACAACCAGCTCAAACTTAAGCGAGTTGAGCGGGCTCAATACAGCATAATTTACTCAATTATTTGTTAAGCGAGTCCATTTATCGTGCCATTTGATAACTTGGCGGCAGCAGCAAGCAGAGCTTAAAATTTTGGTTTTAGGGATGGTAATAATGGACCAATCTAATTAGTCAAGGGTTGGTTACGTCACACTATCTTAGATTAGAGATGATAATTCAATACATCAGAAAAACGCTAGCTAGACCAAAAGATCAGTAAAAATAGAAATTGCTAAATTTCCTGTAGCACAGAGAGAAATTGAGTCAGGATGACAAAATTGTTTCTATGTTTTACTCAAATAATGTGGGTTAAGAATGAAACTATCGCGCCTAAGGCAAAAGTTCGAGCAGAGACACCCTGTCCCGTTTAGCCCTGCCCTAACCCAATAGTCATATGGCTGTATGGTTTACACGACCTGTTGCAGCAAATGCTTGTCAAAAAGCAAACACCCCAGTTTATTTCAATACTGTAAGGAAAGTTCCCAACATATTCCTTAAAAGAGTTTCAAATGTAAAGCCGGTAAGAAGTACATCTTACCAGCATCTCGTAGAGAACTGTTGACATGAATGGAACAGTTCCAGGTAAACAATGCAGAGATAATTGAACTGGCTCAACGTCTCAGCATGGATTGCCATTATTATTGTTTTTTGACAACCAGGATTGCCAGAATGATTATAAAACGAAAAACATTATTTGAACTCGTAGTATTAACTGTGATTGAAATTGATGGTAATCAAAAGAATAACTATGATTTCTGGACTATGCATTTTGTTAACATGGCAAGGAAGGAGAGTAATTATGTATCCTGTTTAATGGGATCCAAACAGCTGCTCTGTAAGATTAAATCCGAGTAAAGTTCTCCTTCCCGGGACTAAATAAGTCCTGGTAATGAATCCAAACTGAAATTAAACTGTTATTATCCCCGAACACTGCTAAGGCAAGATACTCATGTTGATGTGCGCAGAGAAACGAATCAATAACACAACTCATAAGATTCTTCTTGTCATAGAGACTGACTCTACTTTTAAAGCATACTGCAGTAAGGTTCAAAATGTTTAGTGTTCACTCTACACCCTTTGTTACAATGGAGAATGAGGCTTGACTCTAATTTGGACAAAAACATCCAACGATGACCTGTCTGCTAATAAGCAATTCACCAGGTGACCCTTCCCCTTACATTATGGACAAATCAAGAGGCAAGAGCGCAGATGCAGCCTCAAGTTAGCAACCTCTAGAGGACAATTAAAGTGCTTCGACCTAGAAGTCTTGTGATTGATGAAACATATCATCAAATTTCTAAGCAAGGTTAACACCCCCACCCACCGGGCAACAATAATAGTGAAGAGAGTGAACATTCTCCATCTAAACCTAGTTAGAGGTAGAAAAACTAGATGCTCTGCAATCTCGACCAGTACAGCCAAGTGTATTGGACTATGCATCACAGACAATCGTTTAAAAAAACATAATTCAATGCATATCAATACAAGATTGACCAAGGCTAATTCACCACATGTCAATTCACACCTTGACGAATAATAAAATGAACCACTAGCACCTAAAAAGATTAAAGTGCTACTTGATTGATTCCTCCTAGTCAATAATGCATATCTATCAAATTAGCAACCTAACAGAAAGAATGTTTATGAATTAACTAGCCACATCCAATAGAAAGAACATTTATGAATTAAATAATGCACATTACTATTAAACTATTAGTCTTGTTGAGACAATATGAATTATTATATTCTCTTGAAGGTAACCTAACCAGAAACCTTCACCAACAGCCAATGAAGTTCCCGGACTCGTAATATAAACAATACAGGATGAGACGTCATAATAACAACTTAAAAGATTATGCCAGCAGCATCAAAGTTGTACATAACCTTGAAACTCTGTATATCAGTTCAACACCAGAAGGCCACTGCATATAATGGTTTTTGCAGACTATCTTTGCTGATATCAGAATGGAAAAAGACAATAGAGTAAATATATTTCTGAATTTATCATCCCAACTAGGGAGCAAACAGATAATGAAGGATTTTGGGTTTTTTCCCTAATGTCTCATTCAATAAACCATATAAGTAATCTATCAACACTTTAGCTCACCTAACTTTTTTCTCAATTTTCCTACTCATTTCTTTATACAGTTCAACCCAAAGATTTGAAACCCACAATATGCTAACAGAAATAGCAGTAACAACAACAAATACCCAAGAAACCCAAATCCATCTCGGTATTACGTTATCAGCAGCACCACTAAGATAATACGAAAGCATCCTGTAAACAAAATACGGCCCAGCAATACCTCTCACCAATGAATACAGAACATAAAACGGAGGCGAAAGCACCGAATACACCTTGGCAGCAAACTGCACATCCGATTTCCTAGCATTCGCAAGAGTCCATGTGTTCTGTACAAAGCTAGTAACCTCCGCAAGAATCAAAAGCACAAGAATCGCATAAGCCCCATGATACACCATATACCTACACGTAACGAAAACGAAGAGGGTAGCAAGATGATGTCCGATGAAGAGAACATCACTAGGGTAGAAAATCAGGTAGTGGGTTAGGTCCATTAAGAAATAAGCTATGCTGTAATCAAGGACCATGTTCTGAAAATGGGTGTTGGTGGAGTGAAAATTACGATCTGGGTCGGCGAGTAGAGAAGTAACGGCGAGGAATACGGCGGGTGTGCCGTGGAAGAAGGAGATAACGCAGCTGGAAGCTTCTGGACGGAGTTTGGGTTTCCATGAAGGGAAGATAATGAAGTAGGCAATAAGGTAAATGATGAGAAAAAAGATGAAGAAGGAGAAGAGATTGGGTATGGAGGAAGAGAGAAGAATCGGAGCTTCCATGAATGAAAATCTGTGATTATTGATTGAAAATTTTAGGGTTTTATAGGAGAATTGGGGAAAATCGTCGGAAGAAGATGAGGGAAAGGTGAAGTTTGGTATGAATTTTGGAAAAATTGTACTTCTCGAGGAGGAGCCAATGAGCCTTCAGTTCCCTCGTTTTATGTGGAGAAATTTTATTTTTATTTTTATTTTTATTTATAGGACTAAGAAAATAATTTATACTAACATTTTTTTATATATTTATATACTCCTTCCATTTCTATTTCAAGTTTCATCCTTGGTAAAAATAAATGTTCATTTGATAATTATTATTTCACAAAATCAATGTATATATGATATTAAGTGTTATTAACTTGAAAATATATATTTTATCAATATAGAAAAATAAAATAATTAGTTCATGTTTTTTTATTAAAAATTTAACTTTAAAAGAACGCTAAATAAAAATATAATAGTAAACATATTTAATTTCTTAAGTGATGCGAAATATAAAATAGTGACAATTACATAGAAACGGATGGACTATATGTTATTGTTTTTTAGGTGAAAGGGTTATATATAATAATTAAAAGAATCGGGCATAAACTTGACTTTTTTTTTTCTTTCTATTTGAGAAATTATTTTGCTTAAGAATATGTACAATTTGAATAAAAGTACTTTACAACTCTGACGGAGGAGAATGTGTGTTATTGAAGATAAGAAATTTTTTAATATTTATGTATTTATTTATATATAATATTTTACTAAATTTCAATTAATTTTTTTTATATAATTAAGAAAAAGCAATTTATAATGAACCAAATATTCGACTTTTCATAACTGAATATATATATATATATATATATATTGATTACATTTAATATGTCAATTAATATCTTTAGTATTTTATTGGCTTATTCATTTTCGTAATTCCTTTTCCTAAACTTTTAATATATTTATCCTTAAATTGAAGCATTTATTAACTATATCATATATAGAAAGTAGGGATAAATGTATGAAAAATATCCCAATTTTGGTCGGATTTGCTGTTGCGATACTAAACTTTCATGAAGACCTATTACCTCCCTAGACTATTTAATACCGTATTTTAAACATATATATTTGCCCACGTGAACATAAAAAATAATGCAAAATTATAAATAGTAATGTGTCCACGTGGGCACATATATAACTTTAAAATACACTATTAAATAGTTCAGGAGGTAAAAAAAATACAGTATTAAATAGTCCAGGGAGGTAATAGGCCCTTATGAAAATTTAGTATCGCAACAACAAATCCGACCAAAGTAGAAGTGTTTTTCAGACCCTTATCCCTAGAAAGTACTAAAAGATTTTTAATTCTAATTGTCTTAAATATATCATATGGAAAGTCAAAGATTTTAAATATATATATAATATAAAACACATAAATTAAACCAAAAAAGGTACTATTAAATCATGTTTAAGGCTGATTGTGCCAATCTGCTAGCCAAGTAATACAAGGAAGCAAAGCGTGCAATAAATTTATTCGGCCGAATATAAAGTTTATTTAAAATTTTGATGATCCATTTGATTTATTCAAAATATTAAATTAATGAGTCGTAAATAAGATAATTTTAAAAAATTATAGCATAATATTTTGTAAAAAAACTATGGGGTTGTTTTAAGGAAATTTTCAGGCCAAATCATATATAGTTTTTTTTTTCGCTTTTTCTACTTTTGCTTCTATTTATTTAGACGCACATATTTTAGTTAATTTTAATCTTTGTTTCGGTCATATATGACTGATTATAGTTACAAATGAATTTAAAAATAATAGTTATAAATAAAAAAAAATGAAGAGTGCTTCTAGTTAGTATTGCTAGATTTGTTGTTATTTGACAAATTATTGATTATTCTTTATGATACATAAAATTTATGTTTTTAACTTCAGATTATTTAGAGTAGATTTTGGTGTTGAAAATTGAAAAATAAAATGAATATTTTTTGGCAAAAAACGCATGAAGATTTGGCTAGTTTTTAAAATGTGTCTCATTCGTGTATGATTGAAACTTATACATACTTCGAAAAAATCATAATGGTATCAAAATGTGTTTATTATATTTGTTGTTATTTTGACAAAATAATAATTAATTTCAGTTCGACAAATATATTTTATATTTCAAATTTGAATTTATTTGCAGTAGATTTAAGTGCTAATTTATTGAAATTCAATGAACAAAAAATTCAAACGCATTTACATTTGTACACTCCCCTCAGTCCTCACGACCTCAACTTTCAGGATAAAAAATCAACACTTCGCAAACGTAAATAATTAATTGAAATTCAACGAATTCAGACACATTTACGTTTGTGCACTCCCCTCCTACCCCCAACTTTCGAGATAAAAATTCATCGGCGTTCTCTTAAAGATGGCATCAAGTTTCAATTAAACACTTTAACTGGGCTTCGTTTATTTTGAACACGTATAATAGTCCTTTGTTGTGTCATTTCGATACTTATTTTATATTCCCAGACCCAACTTAATTACATGTTGACAAACACCCTTGCTGGAAAAAAAGACCAAACTTTAAGTGACAAGTGGATTTATTTTTTATTTTTAAAAAATCAATTTTAATTCTTTTTTTTTCTCCAGATCTGTAATTACATGCCCACAAACCCCTTTCTTCATCTAATTCTTCCTAAACTACACCAACAACATGAAAATCTCCCAACAATTTCTTCTCAGTTGTCACGCCCCAAACTCAAGGGGCACAACTGGCTCCTAATGCCAAAACTCAGGCTCGAGTCAACCCTACTGAACCATTTGCTACTAGCGCATGGCAACCACACGCAATCAAGAAAACAAACAAGTATATCTCGACTTAAAACTAAGCCCTCGGCCGGCAAGGCCCCTGTCAACAGATCTATAAACGAAACAGCTACTCCCAAGAATTCATATAAAGAAGTAGCCAACAAGCACAGAAGTTCTGATTGGATTGTCGAGGCCACCATGATCTCTATACCAAAACTAAAAACATGTATATATCAAGACAATACATCAAACAACTCACAAACTTCAGCAAACCAACAAACTAGGCCAACATGGCCATAACATAGCTACACACCCCCACACACTAGTCTGCAAGCCTCTAAAAGTAGTAAAGATTGGCGGGACAGGGCCCCAGCCTACCCATAAAAATATATACAACAAAAGCTAACAAACCTCCAAACTCTGGCAGCTCCGGAGGAAAGAGGATAGCCAACCGGATAAAAGTCAATCCTGCTGCTGAGGAGGCCTGCTGGATCGTCTGTCGGGACCTGCATGCATGAATGCAGTGCCCCCAGGCAATGGAGCGTCAATACGAAATAATGTACAGAGTATGAAAGGCAATAAACTATGGGCAGGTATCTTGATATACTAGAATAATTCGATAAATAGATCAAGGATAAGATAAGTGTACCGACCTGTTACTAAATCTTAACTTATCAAAAATAATAAAACAACAACCTAACCAAACCCCCACAAGCTTGACAGGTACAAACAGCACACAAAACCACCTACTCAGGCCCTCATAAGCCCAAAAGGTGCCAACCAATCTATTTTCCCCTATCGGTAGTCCCCTAACACCGTAGGCAGTCACACAGCCCTCTTAGGCATTAATATAGCCTCGTAGGCAGCACATAGCTCTCTTAGGCATCAACATAGGTTATAGACAACTCATAGCCCTCTTAGGCAACAATGTGGCCTTGTAGAAAGCACATAGCCTTCTTAGGGGTCAATATAGCCCTGTAGGTAACTCATAGCCTTTGTAGGCATCAATATAGCCTCATAGGCAACTCATAGCCCTCTTAGGCATCCATATAGCTCCGTAGGCAGAACATAGCCCTTCTAGGCATAGATCACATTCATGTAGCTAACCACAATAGCCCTAAGGGCAACAATAACAATCCAATCGCTAAAAGCGAGCAATTTAGTTATAAGCAACCTATACAAATAACATCTAAGTCATGTCCAACATAGGGACGCTACTAGCTGAATAAGAATCCCGACAAGGGAGGATTATATCAACTCGAGCAGCCAACAATCAACAATAATGGCTAAAAGTATAACAAGGATAACAACCCAATTACATTGCTACTAAGCTTTAAGGAAACATACTGTAAGTAGGGAATAGCCATAACAAACCTTTTTCGCTGAATTCATGTGGCCTAACAACTTTATTCACAACCCCCCTCGATACTACAACAAGGCAGGACCATAATCAGCACAAAAGAATAGAGGATCCCACGATAATTCGATAAAAGATATGTATTTTCGTCGCAAATTGTTATTTGCGACTCATTAAAGCTAGAGTCGATGGAAGAAGGGCCTTCCCTTGATTTAAAATTCGTAATACACCTCAAAACTTTAAAATATGCCCAAGCCCCTGCTTTCCACACACCAAAGTACGATATGCTAGGAAATCAATAAAATAAATTATACCATGTTAACGATCTCAACGCGTAGAACAACTTTTATCAAGGACTTAAGTCACAAAAATCTGTAACTTGGCAGATCCTAGAAGTGGGTTTTGTGAGTTTTTCTGGTTATTCACTAAGAAAAATGAAGAAAAAATGAAGAAAAGTCGAATAAGATGATACATATAAAGTTCCACGACCTAGGGGACCCGCCTCACCTTCCTGCTTGCGTAGTCTTGTACAAATACGAATATTTCTTAATTCTGAAGTCGTATGAACGAACAGGTTGATGCTTTGGAAACTAGACTCGTAGACCTTCGATTTCATAGGTCGTGGGAACCATAACTCTTTATAGATTAGGAGAAAATCCTTGAGACATTTGACCCAAAGTTCAGATAAATCTTTAAAAAGGAATTTATGGTAACTTTCACAAACTTTTATTTTGCCACTTACCTAACTTCAAAACTTGAGATACAATCCTTGCACACTTAAAATATAACATAACACATCATTCTTAATTTATTACCCACCCTCCTGTTCTTTCCACGAAAATACTAGTCAATTTAGATGTTTCAAAAATTCGGGTTGTTACATCCTTCCCCCCTTAGAAACATTCGTCCTCGAATGAAAAATCTGAGTCACGCGGTTATGTCCTTAGGAATTGCCAAAATTTAGGTAGAGTATCCTTTTTAAATATGACTATCCAGGAACCTGAAACGCAGAAATTCTAACCAAGGCGTCTCACAGG